AGTGTCCCCCTCGTTAACGAACATTCGAAGCTTGGCGCGCCTCTGGAGGCTGTCCGCGACGGGCCCTGGGACGGGTCCGGGGGCGAGCAGAGACTTTTGGCGATTCGGCGACGACGCGCCGAGGGTTTGTCGCGCTTGCGCCCGCTGGGAGCGCACTCCGAGTTTCACACCAAACAGGGGGGGTCACATCTCTCGCGGACGAGCAAGTTTCGACCCCCCTGGCCAGCAATGAAAGGGCAGCCCTCTGCCCAGAGTCCCCCGGAACCCTTCAAGACAGCTCAAATCAGACCCCCCCAAAAAATCAGACCACCCCCATTGCAGTGTGAAATTCGTAGTAATTTGGTGTTCTCCATGGTGCTACGAAGCGTGTGAGGGGTGCGACGGAAAAGACGCAGCAGGCACCGTAACGGCATCAGCGGCGCGGCGGGGAGGAGAAGGGGACGGAGAGGAGAGGAAGGTGAGGTTCGGCGTTGTGGATTGAAAGTGAGGGCCCAACTCCACAGGAAAGTTGGATAAAAGAAGTGACGAGGGTAGTAGGGAGTGGAAGTGGAACATGCCGCAACACCCAATGTTCGTTCAACTTCTCACGTAGTGCTCGTTTTTCCTACCCACTGTTCAGGGGCGATGACCAGCAGGGTATGTTCTCAGGGCGGCGCCGTGGCATGGGAGGAGATGGCGCGCTCATCGGTGATGGCTTGTTTGCCTCGAGCTTCATTACACTTGACATGCGTACGGTGCTCGTGCGCGTACGCTCTGCTACTCTGCTACTGCCCGCAAGTCGCAAGCGTGGAACGCAATCTTGTGGCCAAAATTATGAATCCTCCTGATGTGATTCAGTAACCCCTGCGCTTTCGCCTTTTTCGGTCTTGCGAGCAAGAGGTGTGCCCAGCTGGTCCCAAGACTGATGTCCAAGAGGGGCCCAAATCAGCCCAATGGGACCCCAGGACAGCCCAGAGGGTTCCAGGAGGATTCCAAGAAGCCTCCAAGACGGCCTCGAGGGGTTCCATCCAGCCAAAGATAGCCCAATAAAGCTCAAACACTGGTATATCGAGGCCTTCGATATACTGCAAGAGCGGCACAGGTAAGCTGCCACGAGGCCCCCGCAGACAGCCCGAAATGGCCCAGCGGAGGCGCCTTGCGAGCCCCAAGATGGCCCCACCGCAGCCCAAAAGCTTGGACCTGTTAGTTTGTGTTGCCCTAAGCTTGGACTTGTTAGTGTGTTTTGCTGTCAGGCGTTTCCCCTTCAGGTGTGTTGGGGAACGGTTCAGAAGCCCCGGTGACGGCCCAAGACGGTCCGAACGAAGCAGGCCTCAAGACGGCCCACGAGAGTTTACGGAAGGGGCCATGAGAGCCCCAAAACAGCTCAAGTGAGCGTTTAGTTGACGTAAGAAGCTCTCCAAAGAGTTCCAAGACGCGCAAATAATGCCCAAGACGTCCTGATGATCTCCCAGGAGTCCCCACATATCCGTCAGGAGGCCCCCCAAAAGTCATCAAAATTGCCCACATTAGGTCCCACCAGCGAAAGATTCCTGCTACGCGCAGGACCTCGAGTACGTTGGTACGGGGCCCTCGTGTCAGGCCCCAAACGCTCCGAGGGGCAGCACAAGGCAACCCACACGCGCTCCGAGGTGGCCTTCGAGGCCTCCTGGGCGATCCATGCTTCCCCAATGAAGCACATCGATGTGCAGCTGCTGGGAGAGGGAGGAAGAGGTGGAGGAGGATTAGGAGGAGGGGAGGAGGCTGCGCAAGAGCAGGACAAGAAGAGGCGGCGGCAGAGGACGATGAGGACGACAACGATTTTGAAGACGGAGTATAATGAAGTGGAGAGAGAAAGGGTCAAGTGTAAGGAGGGGAATGGGAGATTGTGGAGGGGAAGGTGGAGGATGCGGACAGGAACACAAGGAAGATCAGGAGGCGAATGTGCAGCTGTATTGGTCCAACATTGTGTTACGAGGGCGATGCGCGTTGTCACCGTCAACGTTGCTCCACTACGCAAAGGTATTTACCTGGCGACGTAATAATCATAGTTGCCTACACGAGCAAATGCGAGGTCATCAGCGTCACGTTTTATCATAACCTTTCGTTCACGGACAATGTGGTCGGTGGTGGAGGGGCTTGAGCTTCCAAGAGAGCGAAGCGCACGCGTGGTTCTAGGATCGCACAAATGGCGACGGGCTCCACAGGACCAAGGGTGGCCCATGGTTCCGAAACGCCCCCCCTTCCTTTCTCCCTCCTGGGGGTCTGCCCGGACTCCTGAAAGCATTCCTAGACAGCCTGAGAGGGTCCAGGGCCCAGGGAAAGGAGGGCCCCCCGAGGGGTCCTCAGTGGGCTTCAAGACGTAACGGGGAGCTTCGAAGCTCCCAATCGTTCCTGGGCGTTCTCCAAGCGTCTTCAGGCGCTCCCAGATGCTCCAAGCGCCCCCAAGCGAAGCCCCGAGTCATGTTCGTGTGCTCCTGAGGCGCCCCCCAGCGCCCCCAAGCGCTTCCCAGGTGCTCCCAGGCGTTCCCAGGCGTTCCCAGGCGCTCCCAGGCGTCCATTCGGCGCGCTGCCCGGTGTTCCAGGGGCGCTCTCTGAGGGCCCCAGGGCCGAAGAGTGGAGCTCCGAGATGACCCCGAGTGGTCTTGTCGAGGCGGTGTATTCCGAAGCGGGTCTGCCGAAGCAGACCTGCCGACCTCCCCTTCCTCCTCCTCCTCCTCCTCCTCCTCCTCCTCCTCCTCCCTTGTCCTCCTCCCTCCGACCTCGAGACCATTTCTTTATTGCTTGGGGCATGACGGGCGTCATGGCCCCCGCCCCCCCCCTACGACGTAACGCTCCCTCCCCCAGTGCGCTCCGGGCACTGCCGCCGTGCGCGTTGTGATCCGCGTAAGTGTCCGCGTAGGAATCCGCATAGGAGTCTGGTCCGCAGTCGTCGTCGACGTCGTCGTCGTGGCTCGTCGCTCGTCGCTCCTCGCTCATCGTCGTAGTGCGCGCGGACGCGGCTGGAGCCTGTTTTCTTATTCTGGGCCGATGACGGCAATCATCTGGGGGGGGTGGAGGGGGTCGATGACGTCACGCTTCGCGCTGGCGGCGCCTGGGAATGCTTAGGAATGACGGAGGACGCGTGGCACCAGCATGTTGGTGGCGATCTGCACCACAACGACTGTGTACACAGAGCCTGCGTGCACCACAGCGCCTGTGTACAGCACGCCGCCTATGTACACCACAGCAGCCGCGTGCCACACAGGGTCAGTCTGTGCCACCGCGCGCGCGGGCACAGCAGCTCTTGTGTACACCACAGCGCCTGCGTACACAACATCTGCCGTGTGCAACACAGCAGAGCAGCCGTGTGCAACACAGCACCACTGTTGTATGTACAATATGTCAGAAGGATTCGGTATGACAAAATGGAGCGTTTGTGCATTCCACCGAAAGAACCAGAAAATAATCCTTATGGACAAGGGAGCGCCAGGGGAATCGACGAGTCCTTCCGAGTTCGCTCGCATCACCGTAATTCCTCCCACCTGCGTCCAGGAGGCTCCAGCCAAATTGGCCGTCCGAGAACCAAGTGGGCCGATTCAATCGACCATTTTGCGGTGCACGCTGAGTTGCGCACGTGCGCTGTAGCGCCAATCCGCACGACAGGGGGTAAGGAGGAGGAGGAGGAGGAGGAGGAGGAAGAGAAAAGGAAGAGGAGGAGGAGGAGGAGGAGGAAGAGAAAAGGAGGAGGAGGAGGAACTGGAGGAGAAGGGAAGAGGGAAAAATGTCGCGTGGCGCTTCCGCAACAGATCCTCACGTACAGGCTCCTCCTACCTGTCCTATGCACGCAGGCACTGTGGTGTACAATAGCGCTGCGTTGCACGCGGGTGGTGTGGTGTAGACAGGCGTTGTGGCATGCATAAGCGCCGCGATGCACGCAAGCATTGTGGTGTACACAGGCGCTGTGTTGCACATGGTTGCCTCCGGTGTGCACATGTACACCGGCGCTGTAGTGTACGCAAGCACTGCAGTGTACACAGGTGCTGCGTTGCACACGGATGTTGCGATGTACGCAGGCGCTGTGGTGTACACGCGCGCTGTGGTGCACGCGAGCGTTGTGGTGTACACAGGCGCAGGGGGGCAGATCGCCACCTAGATGCTGCTCGCGTCGTCGTCGTCGTCGTCGCTTGTCGTTTGTCGCTCGTCGCGTCGTGCGCGCGGGCGCGGCTGTTGTGCCGGAGCCACACGGCGGGGGTGGGGCGTTACGTCATTCCCCCCCCCACCGCTGACGCCCGTCATCGCCGAACATAAAGAAACGCTCAGCTCCGACCTTCGAAGCGGCGTCTGCCGATACGGGCCTCTGCCGAAGCAGTCTTGCCGCAGGGGGCTGCCGAAGAGGAGTCGCCGAAGGTGATTGCCGCAGAGGGTCTGCCGCACCCGACGTCTGCCGAAGCCGTGTTCAGGGCTCGAGGTGGTGGCGACGCTTTACCAAAAGTGTCCTCATTGGCTTGGTTTCCATTCAAGATCAGCCTCGGGGCTTCGGAGAGGCCTTCTACGAGCTCCAAGAAGGGCCAGCCGGCCAGCCATAGCAGTCTAGTTCGAGCGTTAGTTTTGCCAGCTCCTGTTGAGAGTTGTACCAATCCGAACTCACGCGGCTTGACACTTGCTGACTGTATTGCGTAGGACTGCTGAAGATGTTGTTCCACCAGTGCGTTCCACCTTGGACTGGTTATCGAGGATATGATACTTCCTATGCCAAAAAGGTCGTATATTACAAGTTGCGGTGGGTTTATCGTCGATGTTCAATACCGATATTGGGAACAAGTTTTATCGTGTTCCTCAATTTGGCGTTCTTCGTCCAGAGTCGTAGTTTATTTTCGGACGATTCTGATGCGCAGGTGCAGACGCTCGGGGTTGATTCACTGACTCCTCCGACAGTTCCTGTTGCGCAGCCGCAGACGCCCGAGGTTGATTCACTGCCTCCTCCGCAAGAGAAGAAGGTGCCGACCGATGGCCAGCCAGGAGCAGCTGCTGTGGAGGGTGATGTAATTCGGACACCGGCACCAGGCGTGCCAGCTGCAGTGGAGAGTCCCGCGCCTGCGCGGGAGACCCCGGGGGCTCCAGCTGCAGACCCCCGGGAGCTCCTGGTGTCACAGTTTCGCTTGGTGCCGGTCACCGCGGACACTTTCGCCAAGTTCAAACCGAGGGCGAACGTGTCCGAGAAGGAAGTCGCGTCCCCAGCGCTCGGTGTGCATGAGGTCATGAATTTGTCGAGCGTCTGGCCACGCCTCGGGTATTGTCGCCGTGGGCAGAGCTTGATTCCCCAGATCCCGGACAGCGTCTGCGACTGGCGTGCGTGCGTGGAGGTCTTGGGGGGCGGCCAAGAGGGGGTGACGCCAAGGCCGGGGGGGGCGGAGATCCTGGCCGCGGCCATGAGATCTCCACGGAGTTCCTGGCCCCCTCTTCTTCTGTCCGCACGCCCCTCGGCCCCCCCCCCGTCGGCCGCGCACGCGCCTCGGGCCATGACGTGCCCGAAGGTCGACGGGACGGCCTACAACGTCGACCGCCTGCTCCTGGGGCGCCAGGCGGCCGTGGAGAGGAGCGCCGAGGGGTGCCACCCCGTCGCCGGGGGGCAGACGGCGCGCGGGCAGAGTGCCGGGGACCCCCCGCTGGTCAGCTTCATCTAGGCTCGGAGGGGGGCCGGGCGAGGCGGCGGCGGCCCTGAGCCCGGCGCGGTTCGCCCTCGTCTTGTTGTGGGAGGGGGGAGGGGGCCTCGTGTCGCCGCCAGGGCTGGATCCGCCTCGACGAGGGGTCGGGATGCACCCCAGGGGCGGGTTGGAAGTTGGAAGCGGGGGCGGGCCAGGCGAGAGGGGCGCCGTTGTCTCGGCCGGCACTCCCCCGGTGCATACCCTGCACAACAATCCGATCATGTCCTCCAAGGGTCTGCTGGCTGCGTTCCGCACCGCGCACGAGGTGCCCAGCGCGGAGTTCGTGCTGCTCGACGACCACAGCAGTCAGGACATGACGCCGTTCGTCGGCGTCGCGGAGACGCTGGAGTCGGTGTTCGGCACGAGGATACAGAAGTGGCGGGCTCCAGAGCCCTTGGGATACACGGTCGCGAACACCGTGGCTCTGAAGCTTGCGTCGGGCACGTACGCGTGCTTGATGAACAGCGATGTGTTCCCGTTGCCGGGCTGGCTGGCAGCGATTTACCAGACTCGGGCGTTCGGCAGCGGGGGATCAATAACCTTATGCCGGTAAGGATCCCACCCTGGGGATGGTAAAGTTTGGGGTCTTGGGAGGATAGTTGTTTTTCCCAGAGATCTCGATGGTGGGATGTCTGGATGGATCTTGAATTACCTCCAAGCTGATCTGGAGAAGCCTTCCCCAGGAGCTTGTTAGAAGGAGTTGTGTGAGCACGAGTCGTGAGCCCAGCGCTCACTGTCGCTCTCACATTGAGCTGCGGGGACGGAAGAAGGGGAGGGGAAGCTCGAAACATTGAGCGTCTCGCTTGAAACACCCTCGCGCAACTAACACGTTCGCGACAGTGCTTTTAAGCGTACCAAGCGTCTTGCTTGAGACATCCTCGAAAGCTGCTGGCCGTGAACTCAACGAATCTTCGAACATTTGCGTTTCGCTCGATATATTTCCGCGAAATTGCTAATAGGGGTCACTCATGGTCTCATTGTGCTGTGCATGATATGAAGATCAGCGCGACGATCCCGCCCGCGCCTCTTGTGGCAATTTGAACCCACATACACCCCGTCCATAATCAGATACAGGCGGCGAAGGGGGGTCACTTTTGTTATCCGCGGCATGCGGTTAAGCAGTATGGGGTCGAGGATTGCATGAAACTGGCTCTGAAGGAACCCCAAACAGCTTCTAAACTGCCCGCGCGGTCCCAACAAGTGCCGGAAAGGTGCACATTGTTGTTCGCCCCTTGTGTATTCCAATCGTATCCCATCGTTGACGAACGCCCGACCATACTTTGATATCGTTACCTGGGGCGGGTATTGTTGGACCTCTGCAAGTTAGTCCAGCCGCCCGCGTCATGGAGGCGGGCGGCACCGTGTTCAGGCAGGGCCACCCTTACAACACTGGGCGTTCTGCGTGGCCCTGGGAGTTGCCCTACTTGCACACTCACGTGGTCGACTACATCAGCGCAGCCTGTATCATCTTTGATCGCGCGGAATTTTTGGGACTCGGCCTCTTCGATCCTCAGTTCGCGCCAGCCTATTTCGAAGATACCGACGCGGCCTTGGTGATGCGCCGGTCGGGGAAGTTGGTGGTATCGGTGCCCTTAGCGGTCGTGGTCCACAACGAGGGGAGTTCGTACAGCAACGCGAGGAAGGAGGCGTTGATGCAGACCAACACAGAGAAGTTCACGGCGAAACACACGGAAGTACTCGACCTTCATTGCCCTTCGCCGAGGGGGTGGGCCCAGACTTGCGGGGACATGCGGGATATCGTAAGTGCCATGCATTTCAACACGATCCGGCGCCAGGGCACCCAGGTATTGATCTTGGATAATGACGTGCCGTTAGTGGACCAAGATTCTGGCTCCGTTCGGATGATGGAGTTGATCCAGATCATCATCGATATGGGCTACGGGGTGACCTTTCAGCCAGAGTCCTCGCAGAGTTTCTTGAAGTACGTCCTCCCAGTCCTCGCCTTGGGCGTGCACGTGCTACCCCCAGGCTCCGTGAAGCAGCTGTCGGAGCGAGTGGGCATCGAGGCTGGTCGCGGGATGGCTGCCTGCCCATGGCAGGTGGCCATTTTGTCTCGCCGGGCGGTGTTCGCATCTCAGATCAATCATCTGAGGAAGGTTTGCCCCACGGTCCCTCTGATCTACGATACGGTTGACCTGCACTTCGTGCGAGAGCGGCGGTCTGTGGAGTTGGCGCGGGCGACTGGGGACAAGGCCCCCGTCTTCCTGTCCGACACGTTCGTAGACGTGCACAAAACGCCGAAAGAGAAAGTCGAGAAGCTTTTGGCGGAGGGCGATCGAGCAACAAACAGCCGCATACACAGAACTTTCAGAGTTTCTTGGATCGGAGAGGCCGCGCGACTTTTCTCGGGTCGGTGTTGGCCCCCCTGCTGGCAGCGCCTCCAGCGCCGCCCCACCACGGTGCGGTGACCACACCGTGTGGTGGGTCAGTGAGGACGTGGGTCGTTCTCCTAGGATGTCTCGGGCGACTGTGGCCTCCAAGGTCCCAAACCCACGCGGTGACGGACCGCGCGGTGAGGTCATTGGGGATTCGGAGGTCACCACACGGTCCGTCGCCACACTGGTGGGATTCAGCGTCGACCCGAAGAACCCGCGCGGATATCCGAAAGGTTCTGTTTGTGTGGTTGTTGGCCCAGGCGAGGAGATGGAGGTCTCCTTCATGCGGATGTCGCAGTACGTCCTCGTGGTCGGCAGTAGCGAGGTCGACCTCGCAGCCCAGAAGGCGGGCAAGGACAAGGTCCGGCTCCTGACCAACATATACCCGGATCCTGACCCGAGTGTCACCGGCCTCCCTTTCGAGGATTGCGGTCGACCAAAACGTTCTTTTGGTGATCTGTTTGACCGATTTGGTTCGTTTGTGTTTTGTAATGTTTTCGTTATAGGGCTTTTGTTTGGCCAACCGTGCATTCGGTTTTGCGCCAAAGCATTGTTTTGGGCAATCGGTCGGACCGTTTTCGATGTAACGCCTCAAAGCTAAAGCGAAAAGAACGCGCAAAACGATACGTTTGTTGGCCCCTGTCGAGGAGAGGGTGGGTGGGCTGTTCGTGGGCAGCATGTGCCACACGCCCAACATCGACGCATCTCGAAGAAGAAAACACAACACTGACATACACTTTCGGAGCTCCACGCGGAGTTCTGAGATTGGCGCTGGACCCCCCTCCCTGGCAGGCGGAGCTCGTGCAGCGTCGATCCAAGGCATCCGCGCGGACCTGCAACCGTCGACAAAATTAACCTGAAAAGTTATCGACGCGCCTCTTCAATGTTGCGTCCTTTCGTCCCTTCGATGTCGCCCCCTTCAATGCCGAAGCTGACCGAGACGCGGTCTGGGCCAGCGCGACTCGGAAGTTCCACGATGACGGTGGCATCGGAGAGTGGGCGCCAGCAGGCATTTCACGTTTAGCGCGCTTCTAAGGTTAATTTTGACGAAGGTAGTGCTAGAGTTGATGTCCATGTAGATGTTTCTTCTTCTGGCATCCAAGTTCATAATGCATGAGATCCTCGCCGACCACGCCGCATTTCCGGAGGGCTTCACGATACACATGGTGTGGTCGGGCACCCGCAGGTGCGCGCAATTGCTCGGCGACATGATGCAAGAGGCGGCGGATCACCCCTTGATAACCTTGCACCTCGACGTCACCAACGAGGACCGAGGAGCAAAGCGCTGCGTAAACATGAACTTTCGGAGCTCCGCGAGGATTTCTCGGATCCCCCCGGCGACGCCTCCTTCACCGCCCGTTGCGGGCTCCGCGCGCCAGGGGAGGGTGGCCCATTGCCGATCCAAGAAATCCGCGCGGAGCTTAGAGGTTGCGTATGCGCCGCAGCGGCACAGTCGTTATGCCCTTGTTTATCCGGATGGGTTTCGCAAAGTTTTGCCAGCCCCTTCTCTATCAGGATGGGACATATCAGAGTCGCGTCGGTGCGTCTCGGCGCTGTCTTGGCGCATCTGTCAACATCATGCGGGGGCGGATAAGAATCATCAGCGCAGATTGAGATGTTGGCGTATTCGAAGACGCCTACGGCGAGTCACCGCCGCCCCCTGCCTTTCGGAATTGTCCATGTGGCCGAGCGTTGTGACAAGAGCTCTTCCAAGCTATCGAGTCATGCGTTCCCCAAGCCGTTGTAGAAACCCTTCGGGGATCACTTGGGCGAGGATGGCGGGGAAGATCAGGATGAGGAGGAGGAGGAGGAGGAGGAGGAGGAGGAGGAGGACGGTGCATCTTGGGAGCCTCTGGGGGCACTCTTGGGGCCTCCTGGGAGCTTCCTAGGAGCCTCTTGGAGGCAGCTTGGGGGCCTCCTTGGGCCTCTTGGGCGCCTTTGGGGGCTCTTAGGGAGCCTCTTTGGCCGTCTTAGCGCATTCCTGGCCCGCCTGACGCCGTCGGAAGCCGTCTCAGGGGCCTCTCTGGGCCGACTTTGGGGCCGTCTCGGAGGCCATCTAGGGCGTCTTGGAGCCATCTCGGGGCCCTCGTGGGGCTGTTTTGAGGGCTTCTTTGGCAGTTCTGGGGCCATCTTGGAGGCCTCTTGGGAGATCTTTGGGGGCTCTTGGGCTCTCTCGGGCCTGTCTGGAGGCCATCCCTGGCGTCGTGGATCGCTCTTGGACCGTCTCGGACCACGTTGAGCTCTCTTGGAGGCCATTTGAAATGCTCCTGGAACTCTCTTGGGAACCTGCTGGGAACTGGCCGGGACCTGCCTGGGACCTTCCTGGGACCTTGCTGGGACCTGCCCGGGACCTTGCCGGGACTTGCCCGGGACCTTGCCGGGACCTTGCCAGGGTACTTGTCGTTTGGAGGCCCCCAGGGGCGCCCCCCCGCGCGCGTTTTAGCGATATTGTTAATCAGTTACCAAAGATTTTAGCACGCCCTTGGCCCGTTGGG